ACCTTGCAGCGGCGTGGTCACGGCGATCTTGTCCAGCGAGAACTTGAAGCACCCGTAGGCCGGTGCAATCCCTCCCGCCGTCACTTGCGTCGTCGACGTGGGCCTCCCACTGTTTCGTGGAGGTGAGCAACGTCAACCGTTGACGTCGACATGCGAGCTGCTTGCAACCGCCGTTGATCGCTCCTCTCGCGTCTGATTCCCGCCGACACCACCGTCGACGGACCTGAGCACTCCGATCTGCCTCGTGCCCTCGCTGCCACTGACTTGATCACCACCGTCGACCACCTCGTCGACACCGGCCATCGTTACGCACCGGTCGAGGAGAGGCAGACGCACCGTCCGCTCCAAGTTGGGGAGGGTGTTCCGCCGCCCACTTCGCACGGATCCCCAGGAGAACCACCTCCAAGGGGAGCGTCGTCCCAACTCGCCATCTCCATGGCGTCTCGTCGCATCAGGCAGGCGTGGTTCTAACTCCTCTACCCCACCTGCCTTTGCCAGGGTAGGCGTCATAGTTCGCACAGTCTGCCAGCCTATGAACGACTTAGGTATGTGACAAGTCGGTTCCTATCTGAAGGTATTCTTCCGGGGCCGTCCTCGCTCACCGCACCATGCAGAGAGAAACTCTACAATGGTGGGAGCTAGACTACGGGGTAGGCACGAGTTGCGAGAGTGACCGTAGCTCTGTCTGTGTTGTCAAACACTTGTGCGTTCATAGGGCAAATAACGAGAGTTTCACTGAGAAAATTTGAGAATACAGAATGAACTAGCAATGGCAACAATGACTACATTAGAAGGTTTGCCAGTGCACAGGCAGGTCGATCGCCAGCACGACAAAGTCGTCGACCTGCCAACGTAGCAACTCCGCGGCCTGCCAACGCAGCTTGTGTGCAACTTGCCAATGCTGCAGAATGGCCGTCTGACAATGCTGCACCCGCGCGGATTGCCAACGCAGCACCCGCACGACTTGCCAGCGCTGCATCCGCAGGTGATTGTCAGTGTATGTGCAAGCACCTACTTCGAAGGTGCTTGTAGACAGTTACGCAAGACATGCACTATTGCGCACATTGCGCACGTGCCAGGTCGGCCACATGCAGATGGTTGCATATGACGAGCCACGTCGATCACATGCTGCCACGTCGGTCAACTTCGCCACATGAACCTCGACAACGTTCGCGCACCTCCACATAACCTCGTCGAGCAGGTAACTCGGTCGACCGGGTAAAGTTCGCATCAACCCTGCAGGATGATGACCTTCGTCATCACCGGTTGATGGCCTTCGTCGTCGCAGGTCGATGACCTTCGTCATCGTGGGTCGACGACCTTCGTCGACCACCTTCTTCGACCATCTCGGACGAAATTCCAACTCCTTATTGGTCGAAATTAGGGCACATTCAAATTTCAAGCCGAAATTCTCTTGTGAACTTGCGAGGGTCCGCAGGGTCAGACGCAACCCTGCGCAAATAAACACATGCGAACCTCTGCACCAGTTGCGCCACTTGCGCATGTACACAAGACGGTTGTGTTGCATTTGCGGATGCTTCCGTTACTCTTGCTTGGGTTCCTTAGTACACCTCGCGTACAGGCAACCCTTCACCTTGTGCACGAGGTCATTGTCCCAACTTGCGTAGAAGCCCCAGATCTCGCATACTGAAGAGGGTCGGCTGCACCTCCCATACACCCAACCGCAAAGTCAGATTTGCCGAAGCGAGGGCAGGGCCAACTCCCGTCAACAACACCTGCCGCACCTGAGGAGATAAACTCTACAACGGTGGGAGCTAGACTACTAGGTAGGCACGAGTTGTAGGAGTGATCATAGCTCTGTCTGTGTTCTCTAGGACTTGTGTTTTCACAGGGCAAAACAGCAAGAGTTTCACTAAGGAAAGTTGAGAATAACAGAGTTCAGAATGAACATGCAATGGCAAAGATTGACTACATCACATGCAAGGTTTGCTAGCACTCAGGCAGGTCGATCGCCAGCACGACAAAGTCGTCGACCTGCCAACGAAGCAAGTCTGCGGTCCGCCAACGCAGCTCGTACGCGACTTGCCAACGCTGCAGATGGCAGCCTACCAACGTTGCACCCGCGCGACTGGCCAACGCAACATCCGCGCGGCTTGCCAACATTGCATCCGCAGGTGATTGTAAGCGCATGTGCAAGCACCTACTTCGCAGGTGCTTGTAGACAGTTATGCACGACGTGCACTGTCAAGTACATTGCGCAGGTTGTCAGCCACATGCTGACGGTTGCACATGATGAGCCACGTCGACCACGTGCTGCCACGTCGGTCGACTTCGCCACAGCAGCCTCGACGACGTTCGCACACCTTCGCGCACCTCGTCGAGCAGGTAACTTGGTCAACCAGGTAAGGTACCTGGAGGATGACATCTCTGCAGGATGACGACCTTCGTCATCACCGGTTGACGACCTTCGTCGTCGCGGGTCGACGACCTTCGTCGTCGCGGTTGGACGACCTTCGTCGTCGGGGCTCGACGACCTTCGTCGAGCACCTTCGTCGAGCACCTCGGTCGACATTTCAAAATGTCAGCCCCTGATTGGTCGAAATTAGGGCACATTCGAATTTCTGGCCAAAATTCGCCTGTGCAGTCTCAATGTTGCGCAGGGTCAAACGCGACCCTGCGCAGACGGACACCCGCGAACTTCTGCACCAGCTGCGCCACTCTGGTCGACGAACTGCTTCGTCGACCATCCTCGTTGAACTCCTTCGTCGAACTCCTTTGTCGACGAAGTCACAGTGGTTCCGCGCAGGTCGACGACCACCTTCGTCGACCTCTGCGGAAGGTCGGCTGCACCTCCCACACACCCGACCACAAGTCAATTTGCCCATGCGAGGGCGGGGCCAATTTCCTTCAACAGCACCCAGGCGGGATGACGGTAGACCCTCGCTTTCTTCGGGCAGTCACCACGCTGCCTCTCTTCGCCGCTTTCTTCTGATGCAAATCACCATGCGTCTGGCTTGCTCGACCAGCAGTCGTTTTCACATGCTGCTACTCCGAAATATTCGCGCAGAGTGACGACACGCCACTTGCCGAAGACCTCCAACGGCTCGTGCGCAACGCGAGGAAGACGCCCCAACGCCACTTGCTGCATGCAGTAGTTCCGATTTTTTGCTGCATGAGTTGAGGACCACATGCAGATGCCACCTCGCGCCACCTTCGTCTCTGACAATCCCGAACATGCAGTGACGACGGCCGCTTCGACGTCAGCAGCCATACAGAAGTAACTTCGAAATTGACGAAAATGCTAGGAAATCAATGCGACGACAACCATAGTTGTTCGCCACCCGAAGGGAGGGAGGTCACGGTTCATCTCGACCGTCGAGGGCAAGGATCCGTCGGTGCCGCAGGAGCGCCTGTAAAAATCATGGCCGCTTGGAGCAACTACTTGTTCTCCTGGTCGGCTAGTGTGCAGCTCCTGGACCTCACGAAATCATTCCTTGCCTCCCCCCCCCCCCCCCCCCCGAGGGGTATTACATTCTAAAAAGCGAGGTGAGCTAGGAAAGTAGCTCCGATACCAAGTGTTATGAGTTGTACTAAACAGAGTGCGCGGACTACTTTATGAAGAAACTGTGAATATCGAATGAAGAAACAATGAAGAAAGCGAGAAAATATAGGGCGAAAACTAGCTAGGCGAGCACCTCGTGATGTGCGAGGGTTGGAAATGTCGAGATTGGTGAGGAGCGACTCGGAACTGGTTCGGTGCGGAAGTTTAGGCCGAGCCACACTGACGCGAAGTGCTAAGGGCTGTCCTCGCTAAGGACAGTTCTACAGTAATGAATTGTATATTCATTACAAGCGGAGCGAGCTGTAACACTTCCTGAGGAAAACTTTTGATTGAAACCGTGTGTCTTCGTGATACACGTCCAGGCGCGTAATCGCTGCTCAGCACAGCACTTACTTAGGGCGTGTAACTTTTTCTGTTTTTGTCAAAAGTCCGGACGGAGCCCCCAAATCGTCCGAACGCGGCTCCGTCCGGACTGTTGGGACTTAGGTCCGGACGACAGCCCGTTCGGACAACAAATGTGGAACTTTTTGCAGTGTCGAAAGTCTGAATTTCGCCGCAAAATGTAACTCTCGTTACTTTTTTCGTAGAGCATCAGGAGTTTCGCAACCGAAATTACGCGGCACAGTATTGGGTGAGATTTTTAACAGATCGCGCGCCAATGACAGCGCAGCAAAAACTGACGGTCCGATCTGCCGTTCGGACGATGAGAGCAGGGCGTCCGGACCATTTTTAGGCAGAACAGTGTCAGACATGGTCCGGCCGGTGGCGACGCCGCAGGGGGTCTTGCGAAATACTTGTCGATGTAATGCGAATATAGTTACCTTACAGAAGTCCGGACGGGGCTTCCGTCCGGACGATGAAAAGTAAAAAAGTTACACGCCCTTACGACTCGTTTTTTTTCCTTTGAGTGAATCGTTTATGCGCTACAGTCTGGCGGTGTGAGGGCGTATTCCTGCACTTCGGGTCATCAGCACTTCGGGTCTTCCGAGATTGTGGGATCTAATCGGAAAATCGAAATGCACCCCAATCTCTTGATTCCGAACTTCCGATTGGATCCCACAATTTCGGATGACCCGAAGTGCAGGAATACGCCCTGAATCTGTTGAGGTTAAAGTGCTGTTTTGAATTCCAACGGTACTGCACTCACACCCTCTTACGGTTAGCTATCATATATTCCTCGTACTAACAGGCGGATTTCCTGGATTCGAACATTCCTTGAACACGCACGCACGAGCCTCCATTGTCAACACTTCAAATCTTTTCCCCCAGATCCAGCCTTCCCAAATTCTGTGGGTTTCTCTCCACAAGTACACAACCCCCAGATTCCCGCCAAAAGCCAAAAAATCTCCTGGCTCCCACACACTCACACAGCACAGCAGCAGGCGTGCACGATGAGGTCATTTCCTCATTCACTCGTTGCAAGAGGCGTGCGTGATCGCTTCGTGTTTTCCTGGAAACATTCGCCATTACTGCAGTCATGGCGTCAGCCATGGTAGATCATCCGTACTATCCGCGCGACATCGTCGTCCCTAATTACTCCCCCTCAGGATGGTCCGTCGAAGCGCTCTTCGGTGTCTTCGGAGCGGCCGTAGTTCTCGTGATCGTCGTCTCGTGGCTTTTCACCCGTAGGTCCTCTGTTACATGGTTACCCTCTGTTGAACGGTTATCTATAGGTCCAGGTTACATCTAAGATCCAGTGCTACCCGTAGATCCACTGTTACATGGTTACCGTAGGTTGCTCAGACCTGAAAATCTGGTGTTAGGCTAGCTAACGCGTCATTGCGACTTTACCGCGCAAAGACAATGCATCTACGCCGCGACAACATGCGATCCGTGCGATTCACCATCAGCAATCATGCGATTCGTGACATTCATGCGATTCATGACGTTCGTGCGACTTATGCGAGCCATACGACTGATCCTCCGATCTTACGACTGAGCATGCTAATCATGTGATTGATCACATTCCTGACGCCTCTCTTCTCCGCCATTGCCGATCCTTCCATCATCAGTACTCATCCTTACGACTCCCTCCTCCACTCCCCACCGTTTTTCCCACCAAAATCCTACACCCGCCGTCTCTGCTGTTAACTGTCGGCTTTTGATGGGTTCACCATATTATGCTGGTGGGACGTGACGGGGCCATCTTCTTTCCTCTTCCCCCCCCCTCCCCTCCCCGACAACCCCCCAACCCCCCGGTTTCTCCTCCTCCACCCGCCCATCAGGATCCTGCCGCCACATGTCGGCTCTGGATAGGGCCATCTTCTGCTGGTGGGCCGTGACGGGGTCGATCCATGTGGTGCTGGAAGGCACATTCGTTGCGTTCCCGGACCTCATGAGCAGCACCAGCAACGCTTTCCTGCTAGATGCGTGTACGTGCAGGGTTAAAAAATGCTCTTCGCATCATGAAGAGAATGATCTTGGGATGGCGAGAATGATCTTGGGATGGCGGGAATGATCTTGGGATGGCGAGAATGATCTTGGGATGGCGAGAATGATCTTGGGATGGCGAGAATGATCTTGGGGTAGAGGTGACGCGTGGGATGAAGCACGAGGCTAGGGATGCAGTACACATGGTGTTGGAGGGGACGCTCGTTGCGTGCAAGGACCCCATGACCCCATCCCATGACCCCATGACCCCATGACCTCGTGACTTATGTCCCCATGACCTCATGTCACCGGCAACGCTTGTCTGCCGCGTTGTTCAAGCAAGCTCAGAAATCGATATGCATATGTGTGCCTTCTCTTTGCTCCCCGTCTTTCTACCTTGCTGCTAGCCTCTTTTAATCTCGTTCCCTATCCTTTCCTTTTCACCCATCGCAGGGAAGGAGTACAGCAAGGCTGACTCGCGCTATGCCACACATGATGGATGTGTACTTTCGCGTTGCTCGCCGCCTTATGCTGCTTTCTACCCCTCTTGCTTTGCCTTACCCTCGCACCTGTCCCTCTCTGGCCTCATCCCTCACAGGGGAGGAGTACAGCAAGGCGGTTTCGCGCTATGCCACTCGAGATGGCTGTTTGCTCTCTTGGTACCTCTCCTCACCCTTTTCTCTCCTTCCGTCACCCTCCCCGTGCTCGCCTCTCCCCCATCGCAGGGAAGGAGTACAGCAAGGCGGACTCGCGCTATGCCACGCGAGACGGCTGTGTGCTCTCTGTTGAGGCGGTCACTGCTTTCATCGAAGGGCCTGCCTGCTTCCTCATCCTGTGAGTGACCCTTGTGCCCTTCCCCTTATTTTGTGAGTGGCCACTTCCCCCTTCCCCCTTCCACCTTTCATCTTCCCCCTTCCCGCTTCCCCCTTCCCCCTTCCACCTTTCATCTTCCCCCTTCCCGCTTCCCCCTTCCCCCTTCCACCTTTCATCTTCCCCCTTCCCGCTTCCCCCTTCCCCCTTCCACCTTTCATCTTCCCCCTTCCCGCTTCCCCCTTCCCCCTTCCACCTTTCATCTTCCCCCTTCCCGCTTCCCCCTTCCCCCTTCCACCTTTCATCTTCCCCCTTCCCGCTTCCCCCTTCCAACCTCCACCTTCCGCCTTCCACCTTCCCACACACCCACAATCTCTCAAAAACGCCATGGTATCGAACATCCCTTTTCTTCCATGTTTACGCTTGCTTTCTCCCTCGGCCTCTTGGTGACTTCTGAGTCAACTCTTAAGGCATTGGCAAACTGCCAGTTTCGCTCTCTCCCTCGCTTAGCTCTGTGGCGGGCTCTTTCACATTGCTATGAGCTCCCTCGCTTCCCTCTTTCCTTTCCTCCTTTCTTTCTCCCCTCCGTCCTCCCTTTCTCCCCTCCCTAACCCTTCTCTCTCCCGTTCCACTCTCTGTTCCTCCCGTCCTTTCTCTTTCCTTCCTCCCTTTCCTCCTCCCTTCCTTTCTCCTTTCTGAAGCCCTCCTTTTCCATCCAAACCCCAATCCCCCAATACCACCCACACGCCCTCACAGGTACGCCATGGCATTGCATTGCAGCGGCCCTTCTCTCCGCTCCTCCAATTCGTCGTCTCCCTCGGCCAGCCATTATCGTCAGCCAGCCATTATCGTCAGCCAGCCAACTTGCTTGTGGCAAAGTAGACGATAATGTCATTATCGTCTCCCTCCCATTATGACATCATCATTCTCTTTGCCGCGAGCCTTCCCCTTCACATTCTCTGCACTCACCCAAACCCACCCCATCCCACCCCAACCCAACCACACATCACAGGTACGCCATGGCATCTCGGCGGCCCTTCTCTCCGCTCCTCCAATTCGCAGTCTCCCTCGGCCAGCTGTACGGCGACGTCATCTATTTCGCGACGAGCTTCCTGGAAGGCTCCAAGCACTGCCACCCGGACCCAATCTACTTCTGGGGGTACTTCATAGCGATGAACGCAATCTGGATTGTGGTCCCCTTGGCCATCATCTGCCACTGCTGGGGCCAGATCACTGCAGCTACGACAGCTGCCTATGCAGCTGGGGGGAGTGGTATCAGTGGTGGTAGCGGGGGGATGAATGGGGCAGTGAAGAGCAGGCGGGCAAAGAGGGAGTGAGCACTGCCATCTGGACCGATCTACTTCTGGGGCTAATTCATAGCGATGAACGCAACCTGGATTGTGGTCCCCTTTGCCATCCTCTGCTCTGCCACTGCTGGGGGCAGATCACAGCAGCCATGAGAGCTACCTATGCAGCTGGGGGTAGTGGTGTTGGTGTTGTTAGTGGGGGGATGAATGGGGCAGTGAAGAGCAGGCGGGCAAAGAGGGAGTGAACCTATTACTCTTGGACTGCTTACTTTCCTCTTCGGTGACTCAATGCAAGGAGCAGAGACGGAGCAGCGTTCTTGTCTGTTTCTGCTATTATTTCTGGAGCTACTTCATTGCAATGAATGCCGTGTGGATCGTTGCGGTGTGGGGAGGAGGGGGAGAGAGGATTGGAGGGAGGGAGAGAGGGAGGGAGTGTCGAGAGAATCAGGCAAGGTTGGATTGACTATCGAGAGTTTGGTACAAAATAACACAACCCTAAAGTGTTATCCCCTATAACATCTACCCCACTACAGCCTACCAATATATATCACACATATATATCATTTGACACACCCCCATAGGCAAAGTGGGGGAGAGCAACGGGTCACAAGACCAGTCAAGAGAAGCAAAACAAGCTCAGGGTGGATCACAACGTCACCACACATTCTGAGCACAAGCAAATGGCCACAAGGCCAGTTCACATGCAGAGATATATATGAAGCAATGACAGTACAGTGATGGCTACCTAGCAAGAGCCAGCATACAGGTATATATGTATATAGATCACAGTACAAGCAAAGACTACAGCAAGTGTGGAAGCGTAGGCACAAGGCCTAACAGAGTACAAAAGCGCTGATGATCACCAGACGGAAGTGCCTTGGTGAATATATCAGCAGTGTTGGCCCGAGTGGCCACGTAACGAAGACAAAGCTGGCCTCGCTGCTGCAACTCTCGAGCCAGGAAGTAACGCAGAGCAATGTGCTTCGTTCTATGCTCCAGTCTGTGCTCCTCACACAAGGCAATGGCGGCCTTGTTGTCAACGTACAGCACTGGAGGAGAACGAGGCTGCTCTCCCAAGTCAGTCAGCAGGTAGGTGAGCCATGGCGGTGGCGTAGATCTCAGCCTCACAACTGGAGCCGAGAACTGAAGACGAGCGTGTAGAACGCCACGAAACTGAACCAGAGCCAAGGCTGAAGGTGTAACCCTGTGACGACCGCTGAGTAGCCAGGTCGTCAACCCAAGAAGCGTCTGAGTGCCCAGTGAGTACAACCTCACTCGTCCCTCCAAGCACTAGCCCCATGCCTGATGTGCTGCACAAGTAGCGCAGTACCCTCTTAGCAGCAGCCATGTGCTCAGGTCGGTGCCGACCAGGAGCCACGTAGCGAGCGAGGAGACCAAGAGGGTACGCGAGGTCAGGTCGAGTGCAAGTCATCAGGTACATGAGGCAGCCGACTAGCTCTGGGTAAGGACCACTCGGCTCTACGGACTCGTCCGAAGGTGGAGCTGAGAGCGTGTGACCTGTAGCCAGAGGAGTGGCCTGTGCTGAAGACCAGGTGAAGCCGAAGCGCTGAAGGACCTGCTGCACCATGTGTGACTGAGTCAAGGTGATGGTGCGGCGTGCTCTGTCCCGGGTGATCTGCAAGCCAAGGTAGCTGCGCAGCTCACCCAAGTCAGTGCACGTGTGTCTCTTCTGCAGCTCCGACTTCACGTGGGCGAGAGCCTCAGTGTCAGTAGTGGCAAAAACCAAGTCGTCGACGTACACGAGGATGTAGAACGGCGGCAGTGAAGTGTCGGTGCGCAGAAACAGCGACGGGTCAGCAGTAGAAGGCGCAAACCCAAGAGCCGCAAGCGTAGTCCTCAGTGTGTCGTGCCACTCACGTGGTGCCTGGCGGAGACCGTAGACCGGCCGCCGGAGGCTCCACTGGGTGCCAGGAGGGAACGACCCAGTGAAGCCCGGGGGGCGGCGCAGCCAGATCTCCTCGTGCAGGCTGCCCTGTAAGAAAGCAGTGCTGAAGTCAAGAGAGTGAAGCTCGTAGTCACGGTGAGCAGCAACGTGCAGCAGCACCCGAAGAGTAGTCATCTTCGGGGTGGGGGAGAAGGTCTGGAAGAAGTCAACTCCCTCTCGCTGACTGAAGCCTCTAGCCACGTAACGCGCCTTGAAGACAGATGGAGAACCCGGCGGCCGCTTCACCCCGAAAATCCACATGCCACTGACGATGTTCACCCCAGGTGGGGGAACCTCGTCGACATAGGTGCCTGTGGACTTCCAGGAAGCCATCTCTGCGTCCATGGCTGCCTGCCACTGAGAGGAGTAGGGACTCTCTATCGCCTCTGCGTAAGAGCGCGGAGTCGGGATGTCTGGTGCATCCGGGTCTCCCTCAGGGGCAAGTAGCGAGGACACAAGATGAGGTAAAGCAGCAGCAAGACACTGGAACTCCTCCTGCCTGTCCTCAAGGACGTCCGTGCTAAGAGCACACTCACCCCCGACGGACGGAGGACAGACAGACGCAGACTCAGCAACAAGACTGGCGGCGTAGTCTAGACGACAGGCAGCAGCAAAGTCAACAAGCTCAGCGACAAGAGCAGACGCAGCAGTAGACTCAAACGACGGGTCAGTGACAACAGTGGCTAGCAGACGCGTGACAGTAGGGTGGTCAGCACGAAACCGGTCAGACTCAAGGTCCGGAACGTCAGGTAGAGAGGACGCAGGAGGAGACGGCAGAGGAACAGGCTGCAGAGCAGAGGAAGGACGACGAACTACGAGGTGTGCGCGGGGGACAGCCGGCTGACGCGAACGAGGAACACGACGACCGGTACGACCAGGACGAGCAGGCGAGACAGGACGCGACACAGGCTCACGACGCTCAGCAGGACTACCAGTCTGCTCAGTGTAAGGAGAAGGAGCAGGCAGCGGTGAGCCAGGCTGTAACGAAAGACCAGTAGACGACGGGAGAGTAAGAACCTGACGAAGAACAGAGTCAGACGGCGGCAGAGACGACGGAGACGGCGGAGCGAAGAACAGTCGTGTCGGCGCAGCTGCATCAGTACCGGCAGCTCCAGCAGCTCCAGTGCCTCCAGCAGCTCCAGTACCTCCAGTAGCTCCAGTACCTCCAGCAGCTCCAGAAGCTCCAGTCCCAGAGCCGACACCTCCAGTCCCAGGGTCTCCACCCTCTGTGTCTCCAGCAGTAGCACCCCCAGAACCAGCACCTCCAGTCCCAGGGTCTCCAGCCTCAGTGTCTCCAGCAGCAACACCCCCAGAACCAGCACCTCCAGTCCCAGGGTCTCCAGCCTCAGTGTCTCCAGTACGAGCACCTCCAGAACCAGCGACTCCAGCACCTCCAGTAGACAAAGGTCCAGCACCACTCCTAGCTCCAGCAGCGCGACGCTGACGGTGACCGTACCAGTCCTGCAGCTGCTGTGGGGTGAGAGGCACCCGTGGACGAAGGCGGCTACTCCAAGGAGACCGCGCAACAGCAGACTCAGAACCCTCAGCGCCAGCACCCCCAACTGCTCCAGAACCTCCAGCGTCAGCACCTCCAGGCTCCACACGCGTAGGCTCAGTACCCGCAGACTCGGCACCCGCAAGCTCAGCACCTCCAGGCTCCTCACGCGCAGGCACAGCACCCTCAGACTCGACACCCCCAAGCTCAGCACCTCCAGGCTCCTCACGCGCAGGCACGGCACCCCCAGACTCCGCACCCCCAGGCTCAGCACCTCTAGGCGCCTCTCGCTCAGGCTCCGCACTCCCAGGCTCAGCACCCCCAGAGACAGCACCCCGAGTAGGACCACCTCCAGCAGGACCTGAGTCACCAGTGACCTCAACAGGCGCAGGTACCGGGGGGTCTACCTGAGAAACACCTGAAGGAGCAGGACCTGGCGCGGGGAGGGGGTCTACCTGGGGAGGACCTGGAGCGAGAAAGAGCGGCGGGGGGGGGCGAGAGGCAGTGCGGTAGGGAAAGAGACGGTAGAAGGGAACAGACTCGTCAAAGGTGACGTCCTGAGACGCAAAGACACGGCGCGAGGTGGGCTCGTAAAACTGCCAGCCAGGCGCGTCAGGAGGAAAACCAAGGAAGACGCAGGGAATGGCGCGAGCAGAGAGCTTGTCCGCGGTGAGATCGCGGACAAAGGCACGAGCACCCTAGACCCGGAAACGCGACGCATCGCCAACCTCCCCCGTCCACAGCAGCGTGGGCGAGGTCTCCGGCAAGGAGACACGGGGCCAGAGGTTGAGCTGATGCGCGGCGTACCGGACCGCGAACGGCCACAGAAAATGGGGAGCCGCCGCATGGATCATGGAGGTACGAGCGACCTCCATGACTAAGCCAATGCGACGCTCAGCAACCCCATTCTGCTGCGGAGAGGCCGGAAGCGTGAACGACTGGGTGATGCCGTGCTCCGCACAGAAGGCTGCCAAGAGGTCAGAGGAGAACTCACCACCTCTGTCAGAGTGCAGACGCAGGACAGGAAAGTCCCGCTCGAACCGCTCGCGGAGCTGGAGACGCACAGCGCGGATCCAGGGGATCAAAACAGCAGGGACGTCTCCCTTGCTGCGCAAGGGGAAGACCGTGGTGTAACGCGTGTAGTCGTCGACAACCAGCAGAAAGTACCGCTCACGGCCCTGTCCCTGGACGCGGGCTGGGCCCCACACGTCCAGGTGAAGCGTCTGCAGGGGAGCCTCTGTGGGAGGAAACGAGGAGGAGTGAGGAGCGGCGCGCTGCCGCCCCTCGACGCAGGGAATGCAGGGCGGCGCAGGCAAGGGAGGGAGGGCAGGCAGAGACCTGGGAAGCCCAGAGACCAGAGAGCGAGAGTGCATGCTACGAAGGCGAGGCAAGGAGGGGTGACCAAGGCGGTGGTGCCACAGGAGCGTGTCGTGCGACAGGCGGCGGCACTCACACTGGGTAGCTACCTGAGCAGACGCGTACAGCTGCGGAGACAAAGGAGCGGAGCGTGAAACAGTGGTGAGGGTGTACAGACTGGACCCCGGCTCACGAGTGAACGTGGCCAGGTGGCG